AAAATATTATTATTTGTATTATAAAAATTATAACTTTATATTATAAGATTTATATAGTAATAATTGTAGATTATTGCTATTTTTAATATTTTATATGTTTTTTGAAAGTTTAAAATAATTTTAAAAAAATATTTTATATAACAAGTTTACTAAAACGCACCACTGGTGTTCAACACCAGTATCAGAAAATCACATGATAATAATAATAAACATGCGATCGGAAGATCACGTGACAACACCAAATAAACACAATCAGAAGATAACATGACAATACTGCTTGTATAATGGATTTTATGTAACCTAATACGTATGTACGTATGAATCCAAACTTTAGCAAGAAAATTTAATAGCAACCTTATTATACTTATATTTATAATCAGAAACTAAAACTTAGCTGCGCCAATCTAAAATTTTGTATTTATTTAGTAAATACAATACATTACTAGTAATAAAATATTAACTAATTCACTTACAATATATTGATAATTGCACGTATCGTCAATTAAAAATGTAGCTTAATGTTAAAAAAATTGTTACACAAAATGATAAAAAATTAAAAGATATTTAATTGTAACATGTTACTTGTAACAACCTACTTAGTATAGCCGATAAAAATTAATAAATTTAATTGCTAACACCCTATGTTATGATTAGACTCTCTTAATTTTTTCTAAAAAATGCTTAATCTCACTAAGCTACGTTTTGATTGCAATGCCCCATTTATCGTAATTTATCTTGGCTATCCAAAGTAGTTATATATGTGTATACCTATAACTTATATATTGAAAAAAAAGGTATACTGTTATTTTAATGGATCCTGTAACCTATAATTACAGAATTTACAAAAAATGATTAATTGAAAAAAGAGGCTGACACACAGCTATGTAATAGTTATATTCTGGGTATTTGGGTATAAGCAAAAATTTTATTTTCGCTTATATACATAGTATCTAGAGTATACTTTCGAACTTGATATTGTGACCAGAGTATACTAAAGTATATATAGGCAATTATAGATATGTCACCAAAGAATTGTTATTAGAAATAAGCAGAGCCCATATGTAGCAATATAAAATATCTTGTTAAAAGTATTCTAAGCAATTTCATGCATATAGATATTTAATCTCTATAACTTTTTTTAAAATTACCACTGTAGGACTATATACAAGTTCTACTATAATATAATAATATCCTTATTTTTATACCACATGTAATACTAATTCTTATAACTTTATTTACATAACGAAGTCAAGCATTATGGTTTCACACTGTCCTATTTTTTGAGTCACAATAATAGGTTCTATTTAAACACATCTTATTCTATATTTTGGCATGTTCGCACATTATAACTTTCTAAAAAACATACTCTACATTTTCGCTTATTCTTGCTAATTTCTTCAGTATAATTATTAGATTCTAACTCAGTGTCAGATTCTGCAGGACAGGTACGTGCATTGTGGCCTCTCAAACCACAAATTCCACACTTCTTCTTATTTATTCTAGTACTTTCTTCTGCATCACTTATAGGCTCAATTTTGACAACATTAGATTCTGCAAATATAATAATTAAATAATGTGCAAATAAAAATAAATCAAATAGTAAAGACATAAAAGACATACTAGAATGGTTTGTTTTTTTATCTTTCAAAATATTTGTTGTATCATTGAAGGCTTTAATTCACTTACTTGGTCATCTACCTTTTGTCTTAATGCTAATAGGATTAGTTATAGTTTGAGCCTACTCTTGAATTCTATCATCTTTATTTACAGACTGATTTTCCTTATTTCGACTCTCAAGTTCTTCTTCCATTTCTTTGACAAGCTTCAAATAAATTTTATAGAGTTCTTCAGATCAGTTTGTTATAATCGCCAAGTTAAGTGTCTTTTTCAACATACTGAATTCCTTTCCCCATTGTTGATTACGCATTATCTCACTATAGATAGGTTTAGTAAAAATATAATTTCCATGAATACTTTCTAGATATGAGAAATCAATCTGAAGAGCATATTCAGATTCATTAAGTTCTTCATCCAAAATTATAGTGATAGCTGGTTCATTCTCAATCATAGGAACTTCTTCAACTAATATATCTTGATACCAATGCCATAGTACTAGCCCAATGTGAAATTTTGCAGTCTTTGAGACAAGTATTACTGCAAAAAAGTGACTACATACAAGTTCTCAATTTAATAAGATCAAACAAGTATAAAGATGTGCGATATTATCATATAATACAATGAAATGAGTGCTTTCTTTATCCAATGTAGAAACATGCCAAAGCTCAAATATCCTTGTCCATCCTATACCAGAAATTAGCTGCTCCAATTCAATTATATTCGCATCGAACATATCCTCTGAAAACATCACATTTGGTGATTCAGCGTCAATCTTATAAATGTATAAAAAATGGATTAAATATACAACATTATTTACTCTTATAATAACAATAACTAATATCACAACACTTTATCTTACATTTTTCCCAAGTTCATTTTCCAAATTGGCAATGTAACACCAATAATGAATACTATGGTTAATCTTATCCTGTTGAAGTTTCAGAATTGCCGGTATTAAGAACTTCTGACTTGAAATATCAACCTTATTAAAGTATTTATTATAGAAACTTTCTTCTTAGTTTATAGGAAGTTGGCCAATGGTTTTATTTACATGCGTAAAATGGCTTTCTCTGTCTAATAATCTTTTTATACTATTTTCCAATTTCAAAAAAGATGATAGTCCATTTACTTGAGTTTTAATTATTCCATTATATGATTCAACATGCTGTGTGCTTTGCACACCAGCATTGAATGCATGGTGTATAAAGCACAGAGCCCAAGCTTCTTTATTTTGATAGAGCTGATGATTCAGATAACTAGAGGCATCGGCATATTTGCATAACAATTCATCTCATCTTTTCTCAAAAATTAATTCACTTCAACTATTTCGTGCATAACAAAAGTCGGTAAAAAATTTTTTCCAATTATCACAGTATTTACTAAAAAAGTGCTTTTTTAAGTTTTTATAAATATGAAATAGACAGAAATGATGCTTTGTTATTGGCAAACAACTATCTACTGCTGCAATAATTGCAGGATCAGCATCTGTGTAGAGTAAACGTGGTGCTAACTCACCAATTGCTTTAATTATATTCTCAAATAGCCAAATATATGTGTCTTTTGTTTCATCTGAGACGACAGCAGTTACCACAAAGCGAGAGTGATTGTGATTATCTATTAAAATGATAACACACAATATCATTGAATGGTGGTTCATTTTTGCAGTGGAATCAAGTAGAACAACATCATGAAATAATGCCCATAACTGCTGTTGACTGGGGCTCATCCAAAATAATCTTGTAAGGCAGTTATCATGACCTTCAAAATGTGCATCAATATAAAAAGTAGGATTCATGTTTTGTTGTTTTAAGAGTTCAAGGTATATAGCTCCAGTATCACTTATTGACTTATTTTGAATCCAGTTTATTTGAATTGCATTGTATACATTACGAGCATGAATATACCTTCCCAGATTCTTTTTCTGTAAAACTTCAACGATTGCTCTAGCATGTACTCTACAAGTAGAAAGAAGCTTTATATCATTAAACATATCAGATGTAAGTTTTCTATAATGATTTGCGACCATTTCAATATTTTTAACAAGAGCATAGTTGTGTTGACCATCAATTTTTGTTATATAGATTTTGTTATCTGTTTTGCGTCGATAAACGTTAACATGAAACCCACAGCTGCTATTATTAAAACCATGATTTCATTTTTTAGTAATATGAGCTTCTTTTTGAAAAGAATGTGGCCTGCCCTTCTTATATCTATAGATATGATGGTGAGGAATTTTATCATTCTTATCTTTTCACTGTGTGTTATAATAAATACAAAACCATTCATTTTCTCGTGATTGTCAAGCCATCTAATAAATTATTTTTAATAAATAATCATACTAAAATCATATCAAAATATACCAATTTATTACTTACATGTCTAATTCTTCCCAATTCCTAAAATCCATCTCCACAGCAATAGTATATATAATATCTCTATCATCTCCAATATCTTCTTTTTGGTTTTCTATATTATGAGTTGTTTCTAAATCGTTCTTCATACTTTCAGTAACTTCTTGATTTTCTATATTATAAGTTGTTTCTAAATCATTCTCCATACTTTCAGTAACTTCTTGATTTTCTATATTATGAGTTGTTTCTAAATCATTCCCCATACTTTTAGTAGCTTTATTTATATAGGAAAAGTCATTTGGCAATAGCTGCTCAACATTTAAATCGTTATCGTTTTCGAAAAATTCATCAAATGAAAAATATTCATTGAAATCTAATGACTCAACATTTATATCTTTAGCATTTTCAGAGTAATATTCACCGACCAAGAAATATTTATTGACATCTGAAATTGGTAATGGCTCAACATTCATATCATTAACACATTCAGAATAATATTCATCGACATCTAAAATTGGTAATGCATTTATAATTTTCTTCTATATCTTTTATCTGGGTGAAGTAATTTTTAGTGTTTATTCAAACAAATCTAGTTTGTGAAAATAACTATGCACCTTTTTCACTGTGCAATAATGAAGCGATGATACGTTGAAAAAAAATCAAATAGCCTTTAGTCAATAAGCTAAACTAGAAATATTTTTTTAAAATAAATCAAAGTTTATTAGTTAGATGTACATGATTACAAAAATGTTGAACAAACTGGATGTAGTAATATTCTAAATATTTTGTATATAGAGTTTTTATAAACTTACAAAAAAAAAACTTCTTTAACTCAAAGAGAATACACAATTAACGATCCTATATATTATATAGCAGCTAAGTAATTAATAAATTTTTTTAAAAAAAAGAAGGAAAATAAAAATGAATGAACGAACGAACCTAACCTTTTTTTGGAAAACTAGGTGCAGTAAGAATTTATATCTTAATACGTAATTGGGTTCCTTTTGGTGGTTCAATTTGCTGAAAAAAATAAAATAATAAAATATTAAGGTGTGTATCACATAATAGCAAAGCAATAATAAGAAATATAGTAACGTATATATCTCGTAACAGTGAAGCTTAAAGAATAATATAATCTTTTTATTATTTAGTAGTAAGAATCTATACCTTAATATGTGATTTGCATTTCTTTTAATTAGCTTAGGTTGTAAAGAAAGTAACTTTGCAAGAACATACAAATTATTTGATAACTCTGGACGATTATGTGTTGTGTAGCAGAAAGAGAAGAAGGTATGATTATGAGAAAATCACTATTTATTTCTAATACAATATCGATATATAATATCATTATACGTATTACAATTTTTGTATAACAGAACATATGCATACCGATCAGCAAATCAGAAATTGGCACTGGTGTTGAACACCAGTGGTACGTTTTAGTAAACTCATTATATAATAATTATTATTAAATTTTAATAAAAATTGTAAAAATAGTAGTTTTGTTTTAAATAAAAAAAAATTATTAAAATTGAATTAATAAAAT